AAGCACTGAACCGAGAAGGTCAACGTGCTGGACATTGGAATGTCCGGGTTGACAGACACCAACGGTGTATTGGACAGGAGTCCAGAGCGTGGCTCGCGGACTGATCGTGGAGTGGCACGTAAACTACTGAGCGCTGCTCGAGTATCGAAGTTGTCGCTGCATGTCATGCGTGACATCCTTGCGTCCCGCTGACGCCGCCATCCCATGGATCAGGGCTCGGTGGGGAGGAATAGCTCAACGGCTAGCTGCTGTCAGCCTTCTCACTGTCCGTAGAGAAGTCGATGACTTCCTGTCTACCAGACTGAGTGTCCTACGACGCGTTCGTGATGGCTGAAAGCCAAGACATGCAGAAAGCATATGCAGATGCAAGAAGTAATAGAAATGTGGATTTGAGGTCGGAAACCTGGTTTATCAAAAGTTAAAAACATTCCTACACATGCCGTCTCTGCTGTCCTAAAGACAAAGTTCCGTCCACGTTTTTTTTGGACTTTCTAAGGTCGTGGCCCGAGGCCTTGCGTATACACTGGACCTTTCGAGAAGGATGCGCACCCGCCCGGTGTTTAATGTGGGCTTGTTTAAGCCGTACCGGGATCCGGCACAAGTGAACGCAGAAGCGTTGGCGCCGGGGCGGGGCGGCGTCCAAAGGCGCTTGGCCACCCGGAAGCTGAACTAGCAACTGGTTCTGAGCACAGAGTACAACAATTTCTGTTTTCAGCGGCGCAAGGCGCTCCACTGTCGCACGAAGTGACGTATCCGTCTGCTCGACGACTAAAAGCCGGTCCGACAAAATGCGATAATCCTCAACAATAGGCAATCGGTACACAAAGTGCTCCAGGCTCTCTATGTCTTTCACACAGTGGTAGGCGACTTCGCAAAGATGCTCGGCGGAATGCCGATGACGACAGGAGTTTTCCTTCAAAGCTCGAAGATCATCACGAGTCACCGGACGGCGATCGACTAAGTCGTCATCGCCCGCCATCGACTCTTCTCGATATGAATGGTGGCGTCAACTTTCACGTGGAACGCCTTGTGGGTCGACGTTGTCGACAGGGTCTGACCCAATTTCTTGTGAAGTGGCGTGGATACCCAAACTCCGAGAGCTCGTGGAAGGTTGAGGTGCCACTTCGACAAGACTGCCCAGACGATGTAGACGCTTATGATCATGACGCTCCGCGTCGTCGTGCGCTCCGTCCCTCTCGGCAGTAGCCCGGGAAGACGAATGGCCAAGAGCTGCTGTGGTCGTAGACTCATCCGTGTGAGAAACCACAGAGCTCGCGGGGGCGTGATGGACTAGTCCATACGTCGCAGGGTGACAATACGAAGGAAGTCAGCGACGCGCCTTGAGTTTGGCAAAATCGAACCAAAGATGGCGCTCCACGCGCACGTCCATTTCCTTGTGGCTTCACCGTAAGTTGAACAGCGAGGAATGTTCCCGGTGCCGCTGCACCCATCGCTCAAAGAGCTCTTCTTCACATGCAGCGGTTTCGCCAGGGGCAAGCACAACAGGAATCGTCCACATCGCGGGTTCAGGAGCGTCTCCTTTTTGGGAGGGTATAGGATCGATCTAGGATGCGCGCGCATAGCCGCCCTGCGCGCAGCATCCAACTGCTGTCTTTGTGTCCCGTCGGGGTCATTGATAGTGATATCACTTCTCCTCGGAAGTCGAGAGGTCGGGAAATGGAAACGGTGTCCGCAAGGTTCGAGCAGGGCTCATGTCGCGCCGCTCGCTCCCCTCTTCTTCCCATCCTAGGAAAGAAGTATCCAACTTGTAGTCGACTTCCTCCAAATCCTCGCCGAGGTAATCTGTCATCCGTGGCGGAGCGGTGTGTGGTACTCGGATGTCGAGAGCTTGGGATGCGCTTCCTTAGAAGTCGCGGACGTGCTGTCCAAAGTTGCACCGTGTGTTGGAAAAAAAGAGCTCTGCCCGCGGGCGCTCTCAGAACAAGCGAGGCTCAGCGTTTTTCGTGTCCTAGACACAGGGCTCATTGAGCAGAGAATGCGTGCAGAAGGTCTTGGGGATGTACGGTTTCTTAGATACGCGAGCTTCGTACGAGTCGACACATAAATGTGAATTGTGAGTGTTCACAATTTTGATGGGGGAGAGTGTGACGGGATCACGCGTACCCTGGTAGGAAGGGGTGGGTCACACAAGATGATGTCACCATACCAGGGTGTGGGTTACACAAGACGGTGTAATCATACAGTGGTGTGGCTACACCTGAACAAGAAGTCAGTACGTGGCTGGACTGCCAGTAGTTATGATTTTTACAGGCATTACTTTTTTATGCGGAAAACCTATATATTTAGATATAGGCGGCATTGCCGCAAGTAGAACCACGAAATACAGTTTACATTTTGAACGGAAGAGTTTATTTGCTTTGGGATAAGGTTGTGGTTAGTATTGGAGATGATGGAGTACGATACCCCCTTTTTATAGGGGCCATGTAAGCCATGTCAAGCACGTGCTGTAGGGTTTTTCATTACACTCTGACCCGACTCTACCCGGCCCCGGGGATCGAACCCGGGACCTCCCGGTGGAGTATTATTGGAGTAAGGGAATTGCGATCTGCTACAGTCGTACTGGTTCTAAAATTATAAATAAGGTCACCGACCTTAGCTTAGCTTCATCTAAACGAAAAAGCTTCGGCAGCCCCGCTGCAGCTTTAGTGTTCTCTGACTTATTACTGGCAATAAAAAGATTTTTTTGACTGGACTTGACGAATCAATAATATTTCCATGACAAATAAAATTGACGTCATTCAATACGTTGTAGGCTTTGATGTTTACAAACTCGGTCGATGTGCTTTGTTATGAACGCCTCCTTCATCGATTCAATTTGTATATCGATCTGGAGCATAAAAAAATTCATGACTATAAACTCTTCTTTGTGGGTTTCCCATTATTCTTTTTTATTCGTGTTTGCCTCTTCTCCCACTAATCATCATGCTACTTTTGCTCATGTCTTCCATGTCGATGACGAAGAAGACAGATTTTCTTTCGGGCGGCTAACTGCTACACTTTCAGTAAGTGTCAGTCTTTTAATCTTCTTGGGCTTGTTCTGTGAGTATAATACCATAACCCTACTTGAGACATCAATGACTTCTTCAACATATGCATACGATCATACAATTTTGTCTTTCGTTATGCAACTTAGATCAGAGCTGCATGACTTTTCAGTGAAGATATCTTGGACAATGAAAGTCGCATTTTACCTGACACCGCTATCACTCCTATTGAAAACTGCATGTGAATCATGCACGTTGGGCCAGAGATCTGCGGACCTGAAGCATCCACAGTACTCTTCCTGAGGATTCCTGCCTCTACTGGCCGCATTCGTTTTTACCCTTGGGATGGTTGAAGCCGAAAAAACAGTACATCGATCGCGGTTTACCGAACGAGCACCTTGTGTAAGTTGCCGACCCGGTAAATATACTCTGCAGTTTCGAACTATATGCTTCTTTTAATCAAAAACACTTTTCATCGTTGCAAAGACGCTCAGTTCCATCGAAATGTACGCGATGTACATTGGCTCTGGGCTATCACAGCTTGCTTGATGCTGAACTCATCCTGCATCGCACGGCCTTATGTGATCGTGGGACTAAAAAACTAAATTGTAAGCGGCATAAATTTGTACTACTTGACGTAATTGAACTATACAATACGTGACTCAGCGAAGGCTTTATATCATCTCTGTCAAACGGAAGATTCAGACAATTATCATGTGCTTGTTGCTATGTATATTTACATCGCTGTAAACTAATAATTTCATAATAAAAAGCATATCTTGTACTTTAGATGATTGTCATACATCGGGATGCACACATTTACGAGACTTTTTGTAAGAAAAATGTCGCGCCTGACGATCAGACTAAACAGAAAGTCTATATATAGTTACAGACCAAATTACACGATATTAATAGCATTTATAATAACAAGATATTAATTTCGCATAATTGACCTTCTTTATATATTTGTATAAAAATATACTCTGCTGCGATGTTTGTGATGTGATTATTTTTTGGAATGAGTCGAATAAAGTATCTTAAATATCATATGATAACTGGATATCATGAAGGCCATAAACTACACGAAGATGATTAAACGCATGATTATGATAGTATGAGGTTGTAAGGTATGAGTTTCAGACTAACTAAAAGCACTGACACTAGCCGAGCCTGCGCGTTCGATGTCCGCAGTCGGTGCTAGCCGCCGCGTCCTCCACGTGGTGTTTTGCGATGTTGCGGCGATTGGTTTCACATTACGTGTGGCCAATCAGATAATCTGAATCCAGTCCACCCCAATAAGCGTGATCTTTTCGTTGGTCCAGAGACAGTTACACTGTATGTAGGCAGAATTTGCAGATGTTGTGCACAGATAATATTTGACCTTCAACAAAGTCATTTTGAGCGAATAAGGATGATAGAGAGCTCGCCTGAAATCGAACCCGGAACCTCTCGCACCCAAAGCGAGAATCATACCACATAACTACGAGGCCAGCCCAAAGTAAATAGCTGCAATCAATTATAACACACTATGTTTGCGTAACCACTTCGCTTTTACATGATGAATCTCATTCTCTTCTTGATTAATAAATCTAGCCAAACACCAAGACAATCACATTCTGATCACGATGCAGATATCATCAGTTATCAAATTAAAATGCTTAATTTAGTTTATAACATCTGATTGCGCTAGAATTGTTATGAATGTTATGAATGCGAGCCCCTGATAATGTCTTTAAAATTGCAGCTACATAGCACTAGTGGCGTGCTATTTTCTTTCAATCTATGAGTAAAGTGCACATAACATCGTTTGGCGCATTGACGGTTTTAACTAAAAAGCGATATGGCAAATTCTTTTCGCTGAATTCAAGAATGAAATAAATGGTGATATGCTGCTACTGTTGAAAAGGAGGCTTGGACTTTATACTGAAATATTTGCTTTCCTGATTTTTAATATCAGCTCATTTATATAGTACTACTAAACATGTTTACAAAAAAAGTATGCTAAAATAAACACTGTAGTTCACGACGCTAAGTTCATCAAAGTAAAAGCAACAGGTCACAAGTCTTAGTTCAGTAGGCCATACAGCTACTCAAACTACAAGATTTGTGTCGATATTAACATTGTACAGCGTGAGTCCACTTTCACATAGGCTGTTTGCTAGCAGTACGTAGTATTTTTCGCGATTGTTTATACCTGCCGTACATGCTAGCCAATGATAAAAAAAGCAGTGCACTTATGTATGTTATCAATCCGGTTATCTCTTGATTACCAATACAACGGATATGGAGCCCGCATACGCAATAGTGGTTCACTGTATGACTTTGGAGTAGTTTGTTCCTACAATAAAATAAATCATTCAAGTTTATAGTACGCCGATTTAGTGGCCTGCAAGAGTCAGATTCGATACGATTTGTGTTCTATAATTGTTACGATAATATCACTCATTCTCACCATGTTGATGCCTTGCTTATAAGAGCAATCGTTAATCGTAACGATGAACTTTCATTTTGTTGATAGCGATCACAAATGCTGAGGAAGATTAATGTGCAGCTCTTGTCTATTTGCTAACATAGAGTAGCATTTTTTTAATCTACCTCACCAAATAGCCGCCATCTTCACGACCATGTCAAGTTGAAGATAGTCTCCTGAAACATGGCAATGCTTTTTAAAGTAGATATACTACCACCAGACTCTCGTCTCCGATTTTGTGGACTCACCAGCACACATGCGTTATAAAAAGCTTTTGACACTTATCGTCGACACATTCCGAATTTCCCGGCTGCTGCGCAGGTCCCCTTCTCCTGCGCTGTGATTAACCTGAAGTTACCTGCCTGATCGTGAAGGGGCCTGGAAGTGCGCACGAAACTTCGCGCTGAAAAGTATGCCGACAAATGTTGAACTTCCACGCTCCTGTGAACCGAGGTCCTCCACCAGACGACACTGACGGGAGCGATGGTCGCACGTAATGTGAAATTTAAGATTCCCATCCCGGTCGCTTCGCAAGACAATTATACGCTGCCAGCGAGCGCAACCGATCAATAGCGTGGCGCAGAAACGCAGACGCATTGCCGG